CTGGTGCATGAAAAATGTACTTTGGGTAACTGAGTCACATAAATGATGAATTTAGCTTATTAGTGTGTTAGGCCTTTTACCCATAACCGCATAGATTGACGATATTCATTGACACAAGTAATCATAGAATCTTACAAATAAACATGCACACGAAAGTCAGTCACACTGATACAATTTTAAACTAGAACAACAATCATTTTATAAGAAATTTTTTGTGTGAAAGTATTATAATGCCAGAACAAAGGCGCACTGCAGCACACAGGTAATACGAAAAACTATACAACATGGTCGCACCAAGTGACAATCTCTGTAACTTGATCAGAAGAATACTGAATAACACAGCTACCACAACTTATACCCAACATCACAGATGTCTTGGAAGTCAACTAGGATTTGAGTGGCATATGGAAACAGCGAGTTGGGCGTCCGGGGGAGGAGAATGTATGAGGAGTAGATGGTAGCTTTTGGACAAACGTAAAACTAGTTAAGGAAGAATGCAGAGAAGAGGATAAAGTAGAGATGTATTGTTGAGACACTATGTTCCACTCGGAACCCAAGGAAATAATAATAAACAATGTTGGCCATTGTATACTTTGATTCACCCCCTGTCGCCGTTGCTCCACCGAGAATCTCTAAATATGAACTGATACCAAGAAGACACGATATGTCACGATTCTTGGCTTCAATGTATATCGACAGTTCTAACTGGAAGAATGATTTTAAGGGCGAAAACTACAACCAACAGACACAAAAAACAGTGTCATTGTAGATTTAGTCACACACCAATATGGACCATCGGATCATTGAAAACCTGGGAATACCAAACAACTGTTACTTTTTATTTTGAGACTCTACAACAGCACATATCCATGACCTCACTACAAGTCAAAATCAAAACCTTCAGGTTACAAGCCAAGTGCAGCCAGCCGCTTGAATACAATCCAATGACCCATGAATTCTAACTTCTGCCAACTTACGACATAACCCTACCGTCAACCGATACCATCAATGCGCATCCACTTCACATTAGACATGGTGGACTGCACTGAACACGATATCTCAATAAATAACGGAAAAAAATATACACAGTCTACTTGGTGAAAATAAAAACTATGTATCTATTAATCGATAAATTCACTCTTAATAGTTCGTTTCATCAGCGCCAACATTCCACAGAAAACTCTATCCTCATTATTGATATTGTCTTATTTCATCATTATCTGTGTAAGCCTTCATATGTGTAAGCCTTCTTTAGTATTTTTAGCTCATTTGAGTTGTGCCAGTTAATTAGACTATTGCAAACCAGTTTACCACAGGTGTGTGTGTGTGCATTCATACAACACACACACGTAACAACAGCAACAACAACAAATTACTAATGAATGTCATTTAAGTGAAGAATGGAATATGGTCCTTTCTATATTTAACTGACTGATTCACTTAGTAGTGTGGATTATTACGCGAAACTTATTCACCATTCACATTCACAGCTACATTCCAGAAAGGAAGTGTAACGAACAGACAGAAGTGAAAAGCGAATTTAGTAAACCTTTTCGTGATCTAGACGATGACAACAAATGAGCTATCGTTAATCCCTGTCAATGACTTGAACTGGATTTTCAAAACAGAACACTACTACATGCACAGAAGTGTAGCAATTAAAATTTGACACACTTCAATAAAGCAGACAAAAAACAGAGAAAATATAGAGAAAAAGAAGCACAAATGTATGAGAGGAGAAAGGATTGTTACATGGAGAATATTGAGAGTCCCTTGTTCAGTCATGTTACCAAGTCAACCAACCAGGCAGTCCCCACCTCTTTACGTGACAATCAAAGAAAGACTTCATGCATAGATGCCAGATTTTTTTTGTTTTGACAAACGCTAAACATTTACCAGTCTTATCCTATATCAGTTAATATTACTTTACGAAGAAGATGATGACTTGGCACACGTAACACGTGTCCTAGCCATCCCAATCGATGCATCTTCACAAACTCATTAATGCAAATCAATACATAAGCCCAAGTTCTGTTGATTTATAACATTGTAAAACTAATGTAGTTCAATAATTCAAGGGAAGTTTATGCATTGTAGTATATATATATATATATATATATATTGCTGTGTACAATTCATCTGTGAGAAAATTATAATGCCTAACCAGCTGTTTAAGCCTAAAATCGATACAAACAAGCTTTGGATTTCGCGAACAAAGTATGAAACTTGAGAACATCACCTTCTTTTCATTCACAAAACTTAGGGCAAGTCGTAGGTATATACTTTAAAAAAAAAGAAAGAATTACCTGAGCTTCCTAACTAAAACAATGATGAAATAATGATAGTGATTATTTCAAGTGTGGCCACGGATTGAGAGAGAACCATTGAAAACAAGCAGGGACTACTATACAGCTGTTTCGTCCCCCCGTTTCGGGATTCCTCGGCAGTAGATTCGAACCCAGGATCTTCCATTTACGGGGCAGGGTCGTAGACCATTCGACCACTGACACCCAACTCATTGGCCAGCCCATGAATTATAATTTTGACCAATTCGTGATTTTAGGCTTGGCGCAAACTAGGAATAAACAGCTGTCCAGTACTCCCTTCTGGTTTTCAATGGTTCTCTAACTGATATCAATTCATTTCAAGTGTGACCACGGATCAGTTAGAGAACCACTGAAAATCAGAAGGGAGTACTGGACAAGTATTTCATCTTAGTTTGGGACTCATCGACAAAACACCCACCGTCAGTGAATAGTTGCAGGACGACGTTGCCAGGAGTTCTGTTGAGCAGCCATGATCGGTGGGGTCAATCCCGTCGGCAATTAGGAATAAACACTCGTAACCTATGACATTCACTTAGTGATGGCGCTAAAACCACGAGTTGGTAGAGATTAGAATTCTTGGGCTGGTCATTGAGTAGGCTCCCAGTGGTTGAATGGTCTACGAGCTTGCCTCTTAAATGGAAGATCCTGGGTTTGAACCCGGATGGTGGATGCCTACAGCCGAAGAATCCCGAAATCGGGGGGAGAAACAGTTGTCCAGTACTACCTACTGGTTTTCAATGGTTCTCTAATTAATATTAAACCGTGAACAAACTTGAAATAAACTAAATCCCTGCAAAAAACTCTTGCAAATGTCATCATTACAATTAATCAGAATAAAAATAATGGCAATAATAATAATAATACAGCCCTACGGCAACTTCTGCTCAGGTCATTATTCAGCTGATGAAAACAGTGCATATATATATAGTGACACTGTTCGACTATATTCCCTTGAGTTTTCAATTAATTATGTACTCGCCACTATGAGCTCTTGAAAATGCATGGTTAAACAGAATGCATAATAGGATTGTTTAAAAAAAATGAAAAAATTATTTCAGCTTTATTTTCCTTATCTACTGCAGTATAAAAGTGTTTAAAATTCTCAAATAGAATATTTATGTTCTGACAAATTATAAATAAGCAGTATTATATTATACTACTTATTACGATGAGTAGTAAACTAGCAACCACCTACACCAAGCATTGGTACCACATGTAAAAATTCTGAGGACATAGAAGTGTCTGAGGCTCATTATTCGTTTGAGCACTCACTCAATTTTCAGTCGATACTTTGTGGTTTCGAAATCCACTCCGCCTATTTCATCATCCCGGGTGGCATCATCAGCTGCCAGAAAATATGTGTGATTCATATTCTTGTGTATGGAAAATCTGTTCCGAACTAAAGATGAGTAGGAAAACCACCTATAAACCTTAAGATATTGCATTAAGATATGCGGATACATTGAAATAAATGTGCAGAAACAGTCAGTATTCACAACTTAAACCGGAGTTACAAATTACGTCACAAAACCTTCAAGTTGCAATTACAACCGATGCTCGATTCTTACTTATTTTTAATTCAATTTTGATTTCTCCGTTAACTGATTCAACCGAAATGTTCGACCTCTGCTGAAAGACATTTTGGCTTCCAGTGCGGAAGCTTCAACGATGTCTGAGGATTAACTTGAAGTAATTTGGTAGATGGTGATCAGCGGTGGATTCCAACCAATCAACGGTGGCTCTAGTGACCCAAGGGGCCTAGTGGATAACGCTTTGGCATTTGAAACGACGGGGGCTGAGTTCGAGACCCGGTTGGGATACCATCCCTGACTAGGGAATGCAGGTACATCCAGTTGACGAGTCTCAAATTAATTCTCTATTCTATTGATTCTAAAAATAGTTTTCATTTGGTAAATCATTATGGAGAGTGTTTTATAACTCCTATTGGTTCAGCGGCCAAAATGTTCGCTAACCGTGGGCGTGGTCCTGGTTTGTTTCGCGGATAACACACTGCAAAACTTAGTCTAACTTACTGGCTGATAGCAAAATCAGAAGGCAGGAAAAGTTTGGCATATGGTTGGTAACTTGACCCCGTAAGAACAGCAACAATAACACTAACACCGCTGATGAAGCTCAACAGCTTGAAGCCTCATGTTCCACTTGAATAATCGCCCATGATAGTGGATGGTGAATTAAAAGAAGATGGAATTCACCGGCAATCGAATTGCAGGTGATTTGATCAATCTTAAAGTGCTCAACTCATTAGGGAAGGACCCCTGGTAGAGTTATGACTGCATACCGCTGAAGAATTTCTGAATCTAATGAAACAGCAGTCCAGTACCCCTTGGACTTCAATGACTTTCTGACTGATGTTAAAGTACTGATACAATCTACTCTGATTAGAAAACAGCCTAATTGACCACTGATTAGAACGATAGACAACATGAAGTAGACTAAACAACAACAGGTGTATATAGTTGGAAGAGTGAATTTTACACAAGTTCCAGGTAATCTTTGTTAATAGTTGTGTTGACAAATAAAACACTAAAAACCACCAGACTAACTGAATTCAAATACACTTTGTTTGTTGCTATTTTTTTTTGTTATTTCGCTAACTGTCAACAAATTTTATAAACGTGAGCATTAATAAATTATGACAGAAATAGCACTTACTGCAGCTGATGTAATGAAATCAACATGTGCCAAATTGTCATCATCTTTTTCAAAATTTATTGATCGGCAGTTTAAAACAGCTGTAAAATAACAGAAGACAAAAAATAATGTAAAAATAAATTGGTATAAATATATATGCGCCTGACACTGAAGCTAAAAAACGTGAGACTAAAGTGTATAACGTCTTGAAGATTGATGCAGTAGGATTGAACTCACCAATGGTTTACACGGAATGACTCAGTTCAAAGAGTCAGATCAATTTAGTCGACTCAGACTCTAGTTGATTACCTGGGAGAACTAATGTTACCCAGAACACAGTTAATTGTTTACAAAATAATCAGGTTGAGGCGAAGCTTAAGAACTTTATTTCAATACAAAAACTTAGTCAGTTCGAGCACACTATTGATAAGCATCGTGCCAGATGATCGAAACTAATGTCGGAGACTTAGGTGATTTTCATCTGGCTGGCTAGCACTGTAACAGAATAACTGTGTTCGAAAATCTCTCCTGAATGGTCTGATTACAATATTGTTACTTATTTGGATGTTTCACCTAATTCGGTAATTGTTATCCGTTTTTCTCCTGGACTGTTTATCATTGTCCTGACATTTGAATATCATATGTCGACCTTATCATGACTATTTGCCATTGGTCCTATTCATTCAATCTCTAATTTTAATGCTTCTCTTTGTAATTGTGCGATACATTCATAAATATATTGTTTTACAATGTGATTTTCTTTGAGTGAATGAAGGTGATCCTGACCTTGAACTGTCTGCGGGAAGTATTAGAGTGTGATTCTATAGGACTGAGGTTTTGATCCCACTGCGTTGCTGGGAATATTCTACTTGAAATAATAGAGATTTGTAGCTCAGGTGGATGATTTGCAATTAATAGTGTTCTCTGAGCTGGTTGGTTTAGTTGCGGAGCTTACGTCTTCCTTCTGGACATCTTCAGCGCAATATTTAGCATAAAGTGAAATGATTTAAATTTCTTCATGAGTGATATAATTGCGCTGAAGATGTTGTCCAGAAGGACGACGAAAGCTCCGCAATTAAACCAACCAGCTCAGAAAAACACTATTAATTGCAAATATTCTACTTGATTCTCAGATACTTCTTACAGTTGAATTTTGGTTAACTAATTTTGTTCTATAGTAATTGTTTTTTGTACTTAGAAAGTGACCTTGTCTGCATAGCTGCCTAACGTCACTGTTATGGTAATTTTGAGATTTTTGATGTGATTATTAGTTGGAAAGAACCACATAGGCGTCAGCGGCAGAATGCACGCCAACCACGCATGTGGTCCGGGTTTCGATCCCCGGCCACCAACGCACTCCTTTACCTCGTTAAGCTAGTAATAAGACTGGTAAAGAAGTAAGGTTGGGCAGGAGGCTAGCAGCCGCATCCCGTAAAAGTGAAAATACGCACTACTACCAAAACTTCAAGATTAAAGCCCCATGTTCCCCTCGGAGCGCAAAAGGAATTAAAAAAAGACCTTTCCACGAAAGATAGTCTTTTGCTGTCTATGAAGCGTTTCCTGTCTGTGTGTTTCTCTCAAGGAAGTTTTGGAAAGCTGTACAATACGACACAAAGACTGGTACCCTGAGTTCAGACCACAACGAGTCGGTTTTGATTGTTACTGATTGAAATATTTAAATATTCAAATTATTAATATTAGAGCAAGACATATAAGCGAACAGTATTGTTTTCAATTAGATCTTCTTCAGGCTTTACTCTAATTTACATAGATTTATACATAATAATTTTAACCAATGACGGTGATTTTGTGGATCAAATAATAATAATAATGTGGTTAGTGCTTTGAACGTCGTTAATAACGATGATTATGATGATAACAAAATATTGATAATAACAACAAAACAATTCCAACAGTGGTGTGAACACGGGCAGTAATTTTGCTCAAAATATTACCAAAATCATAAAAGTAAGAAGGAAATGAAAAATAAAAAAGGTTGGGAGGGTTTCGATTAGAATTCACCTAGGTCAAGGGAGAGACAAAGGTAGAGCAAACTTCTTTTGTATGCAAAGACTAGGAGAGTTCTCTCGAATTCCCATAGCTTTGGCTATGTCTAAAAGGCGGGTTCGAACTATTCATATAAGTCAAGCGTATATAAAGTTGAGAGTTGTTGTTCTCACTTTTTCTTATCAAATCAGTTCATACAATGTGGCCTTTCTTTTTCACTTTCCAATGAGACTTATGATGAAACTCCTCCGCCGCCAACCGTTTACTTTCTAAAGAACTAATTGGGTTTCGTCAGAAAATAATATTTGTAGAAAAATAAAATGTAGGGATGTATTTCCAATTGCCTAAAAAACAATAAGTAGTCACTGTTTCATTACGTTCCATTAATTAATTGAAATAGAATATTATATTATGAATTGTTTGTTTTTTAAAGAAAAAAGAGATGAACATTATCAAGATGGAGAATGGATTTTCTGAACAGTTTCCCTAATCAATATACACAGGATTTAGTTGATAAGTTTCTGCATCTCCAGCTTACTACAATCAATTATTCAGAGATGTGTACCGAACGCTGAGTGAACATTTCATTCAATTATATCAAAAATCGATAAACTGTGAAAGTGTCATTAGAAAAAGAAACTGATTTCCATCACCAATTTATCGTTATAATGATTGATTAGCTTAAGGGGACAACACTGTGATATTCGATACGTCGTTCCTTTGGCTTCCCAGGAGAACGAACACAGAGCTTGAGTTTTGAAATTTCAGCGGCAATGGTGTTTATTTACAGGGTGAAGTTGTTCCCGTCTCTGCCGAGTTTAGAACTGGCTATGGCAGGTAAAGGTGTGCACCCGCCGAGAATCGAACTCCTGACCACGTGTATGGTTGGAAAGCATTCTACCGCTGTACCACTGACGCAGAAAGTACGTACGTGTCGGAGATGAGATATGAAAGACATTAATATTTAGACTCCGGCTCCAATGAGAACACCAGAGTTTACTGAGATGAATACACATCCATTTGATGAGTTTCACATAGGAGGTAAAGCGTGCAGAACAGAAATTTCGTCTACCAAACCCCTACTAAGTGTATTACCAAGAGAAGATTAGAGTGTAAGAAAACACATTTTTTTGTTATTCGAATAATGATGCCCTGAAATCTACATGTAGTTAGAGGCAATAGAAAAAGAAAGATCGAATTTAACACTATACTAGCAGTTTTAAGGTCAACTTTTTAACCTTATTTAACTTTTATACGTAGCTGCCTATATTTAACGCTTTAGCTGGTAAGTACGTCTCTCTGGTGGTGTGTATGCGTGTTTGCGCGTGTGCGTATTTGTCACTTAGTTTTCAATCGCCTTATTGTTGAATAAAATTATTACAGTTACTAAATAACTGAGTAAATAAAATGTTAATTCAGTATAGTTTTATCTTAGTAGATAGTTTCAAGTTTATAATTTGTGGGGCTTAGTGATATACTACTTGTTGGTATGAGTAGGCAGTCACGCAGTCAGCAAGTTCAGTTAGCTTGAAATAAATGATTTTCGTGAAAAGAAACCCAATATCAACTAGGCAAACTCGGAGAACCATAGAGCAGTGGACAGTTATTTTGTCTCAGTCAGGGACTCTTCAACAAGCTCCCCCAATGATCCCATGTAGTCACCATCATCTAATGACATTGGTGCTGTGTGTGTACTTCACGAATCAACAGAAGTTAGAATTCACACGTTTTTGGGTCCTCATACTGTGACTGGATAGTAACGTTCTAATAGTCTTATAGTGTTAGCAAATAGATCATTCGGGCCATCACTCACTGGGGAATCCAGGTGCATCCAGTTGAAGAGTCCCAAATAGGACGAAATTCACATCCTGGATCCCACTGCCAGTCACCATTCACCAAATTACTTCATTTTAATCCTCAGACATCGTTAAAGCATCCTCACTAGGAGCCGACTTGTCTGTCAATTGAAGCCGACCACTTCGGCTGAATCAATTAACGGGAAAATCAAAATTGAATTAAAGATAGGCAGTTAGTTTAAACAATTTCATATATAAGATAAAATACTGAACAACCATCAAGTAAGCATAAACTTATTACACTCTGAAATGGCATAGACAAAAGAATAAAACAGAAATAGAGCAGTATGAAGAAGAAACATAGGTGTATGGTATGTAGAAGAATTTTGAAGATGAAAACGAGTCGATCAAGCGTCTAGAAGCATTATTTGTTATCACACTGTGAACGCCAGATAAACAACTTAAACTGACCTACACTAACTCAGATCGATAAAAATAGACTTCATTTAGCCTCCGCGGAGACTTGAGTCACTTACTTAATTAAGCAGTAGACTTTCAGCCAATGGGTTTCGGGTCGAAGTATCTCTCCGCCTACTTCAGCCTTAGGAACTAGTTAGTATACAACATTATAGCCTGGTACATGGAGAAACTAAATTCGCGTAACTCAGTTCTATCAGCATTCATAGATTGGTGGCATGTTTCGCTTTGACAACCGCTAGCTTTTTCTGTCCCAGTAAGTAAGCCAATGTTATCTAAGATTACTTGTAGAAAAAGATAGTAGTTTGACATGCATAAGATACATATGCCTGCAACCATCATATTCAGCAAACATTCAATACCTGACAAACTCATTACACTCTGGTGCTTCATTCGATGAGAGATTTTTTTACATTTTGCTTTTTCAGCAAACATATTTCAGTGACATAAAGTAAAATACATCGAATTGTTGTGCGGTGCAGTGCATGTGGGGTCTTGATGAAGAGATAGATATATTCCAGATTTGATCATGGATTAATATCAGTTAGAGAAGCATTGAAAACAAGCAGGGAGTACTATACAGCTGTTTCGTCCCACCAGTTCAAGATTCTTCAGCACCACGAACCCACCTCCCGGCTTCGAACCCATTATGTTTCGGTTATAAGTCAAGCTTGTAGACCATGCAACCACTGGAACCCAACTCAGTGGTTAGCCCAAACTAGAACGGAACAGCTGTCCAGTGCTCCCTGGTTTTCAATGGTTCTCTAATTGACATTCATCAAACTAACTCTCGAAGTTATGACGCAAGCTTCAAAGATGAT